TAGGCACTCTTTCACAGGGGCCTCTAGCACAGGAGTTCTCACAAGATAATCACAACATCCTAGCACATACTTGTTAAGACATGTTATGTAAAGAGACACAGCCAAGCATGTGCATATAGCTAGTTTGTGGCTGGCTTAACATATATGCACCTACAAAGCTATGAAAGTGCCTTTGGCTCCATAACAGTCATATCACTGGTATCACCCAGAAAAAACGGCAGCCACAAACGTTCCCAGTGGGAGTGCATGCACTCCACCTCAATCTCCCACATACTTTTCGCTCCTATCACCAAAAAAAGCAGGCACAAGCATTCACATCCCTCACTGGGAGTGACTGCACTCCACCTATACCTCCCACATGGACATGGCCATGCGAGCACATATGCATACACTCACAGTGCCCCATACACAGACTTGCACAAAGAGCGAAGGCCTCCATAACCCCTCTGCTTGCATTCACACAGGAAAGGGCATCTTCAGCACACACAGACACAAGCATGTAACTATCTTCGCCCATCTTGCAAGCACATGTAATTTCACACACTGGCACAAACATAGATGGTGCAAACCCCACCCCAAACGACAGAAACTTCTCATCAGAATCACCTGGGAATGCCCACCACAATGGCAAACATCTTAGAAACCAGTAGGTTCCAGCAATATAGCTTTCGATTCAAAGCTGGGGTCGAGAAACCCCACCCCAAGTGACCACAATCGCAATAGCACATTGGCAAACTTGGGGTAGGGAAACCCCACCCCAAGTGACCATAACTTACAGCATGCTTGCTAATGTTGAATCCAAGTAACGGAGGCAGAATTCATGCAGTAGCCCTTTGAGACAGAAAGCTTTCCATCCAAAGCTGCTTTCCAATTTTTCACTACTTACACGTAATGAGCGAGTACAAATAGAAAGGGGCATAGGGCCCCAACAACAGGCATGTGCAAGAAATGGCTGGAAGTAGTTGTGTTGGGTTCAGAACTCAGGGAGATGAGGTATAACATCCAAGTTCCAACGGGAAATTCCTGGGCTAGTCAGGTAGGTTGCTGTTCTGCTGCATGGCCTTTGAAGAGAGCCTGAAGAGAAGCAGCAGGAGGCCGGCAGAGCTTCCAGCCTCGAGGCAAGCAAGTTGCCTGCTGCTGACCAAAACAAAAAGACTGCCATGCAGTGCAGAATCATAAAACAGAGAGCTACAGACTCTTCACTGAGTTCAGGATGCAATTCATCGAGACCACTTAAGGCCCTCAAACCACTTCCAGCTCCATCAAGGCATATATTGCATTCCAGCCTTCCACCCACATAGCAAACTACCTACCATTCCAACTCTGCTTGCAAGACAGAGGAACGGGATTCCGACATATCAGAGGGGGGAACAGATGTGATATAGGATGTGAAATTTGATCAACATGTGAGACCAAAGATCCGGAATTAAGGAATGAACATTCATCATTTGCAACGTAAGAGGTTACGTTGGGGGATGTGAAATCTGATCAGCATGATAGATCCAAGATCATTTGCCACATGAGATTTCATTAAACATGAGATTAAAAATCATTAAATGCATTTTCCAGGGACTCTGCCAAGTCTAGTCGCTCGAAGGGACCTTGCTCTTAAGAGAGGGGGGGTGTCAGGGGCGGGGGGGGTTCTGGGTTTTGCTGCTTGTTTGACTGACTTGCTGAGATTTCCATATTCTGCAAAATCGCAGAGTGAGAAACTTGTTGTTTTCTGGGTTTTGCTGCTTGTTTGACTGACTTGCTGAGATTTCCATATTCTGCTGAGATTTCGAAGTACTTATGTGTTGCATGATTACTGAGGTAAATTGGGAGAAATGGTCATCTATATAGGCTGCTACAGCGCTGGGTCAACATGTGACCAGTAGGATGGGGACGGCCGTGCGGTCACCAGCGGCACAGTGATAGGCATTGGAAAGGAAGTTGGGGATCATAGCTGGTTAGGCACCTTGTACGATACGGGTGGTAGGTCGATCACAGGTAGTCCTTGGAAGATAAGGAAGACTGTGAGGGGACAGGGTGGACACTTACAGGGGGAGCTCCAAGAGGAGGTCAGACTATTCAAGCGGTCATTGACAGCATGGGGACAGAGCTCAGCAGCCTCTTCGTTGTGTTGGTTGGATGGAGGCAAGAAGAGGGTTTTCATAATCAAGAGACTTTGGCATGGTGTGAATCCTTTTACTGGTGTCATCTTGTGCTTCTCATTCTGCTCTCCATTTGGTCTACTCCATGCATGTACATCCATTTGGTCTACTCCATGCATGTACATCCATTTGGTCTACTCCATGCATGTACATCAATAACTGGACATCATACAGTAAAACTGGTGTAATATACAATCGAAAAGCCACCATCTACCAACATGTGCATCATCTGCTCAGATGATGTGCTCATAACCTATTGTTAGGAGGGAACTCACAAAGCAACATTCTCCTCGTTTGCTGTTCTGGCTGACGAAACAGCATTTATTGGTCCCCATTCACATGCACATGACGGCACACCAAGCATGCACGGTTTCATCAGGTAAAAGAGGAAGTGCATGTGGCGGAAGGCTGCAGTGAAGTCTCAATTAAAACAAAACCAAAGCCTTCGGAAATGTCATGCCACCAACCTTGTTAAATAATTAGCCCTTGGCTTGTTTAAAGAGATAATTCTATCCCTGTATGCAGCTGTATCCACCCATAAATCGTCCCTGCATCCACCCAAAATGACTCCGTAACTTTGGGAGGAGTGCTTTTCTTTGCAAAAGCAGACAAAAGTGGCACATATATTAAAAACACAAGACTCTGCCAAGCGGTAACACAATGTATAGAGTCTGACACCTGCCGGTGCTGGAGGGTGAAAAGGAGACGTGACATAAGCTTCGACTGGAAGGCCAAGTAAACGGCGACAGTAACTTTAACTGTCAACTTTAAGGCAGTTATAAAATCTGGCTATATGCTGGAACACTCGCAATTCTTACACACCCTGGAACACTCGCAATTCTTACACACCCTACCGAGAAATACGGCAGGGTTGGTACATATACAAATTTCCTTTTATGTTTTATAGAGGAAATTTCAAACTTCAAATGTGTATGTATACAAACCCAGACAATCCTTTTTCAAATATTCTTCGTTATAAAAAAGCATACTATCCAGGTTTGACCAGAAAAAGGATTCGAAGACATCTGTGTGGACAGGGATTTCAACAGTTCGCATCAACATGGCAATAATCCTGGTATCAGAACATATTTTCCCTAAACTTTGTTCAGGGGTTGGGATAAGGGTGGGGATGAGATTCATAGGAAAATTACAACTCTAAAACAGAAAGTATAAAGAGAAACCCTGCAACCTGATAGTTCTACTGCAGCTCAGGAAGTCCTGCACTTTTCACTTCCAAAAACACGCACAAAGCTTGGCTTTCTTAACTCTGCGTACCCAGATATCAAGGAAAAATCGACATTGTCTAGATCAGGATTCTGTAATGACCTGCAAAATAGCAGAATGAGAAACTTGCTGTTTTCTGGGTGTCGCCGCTTGTTTGACTGACCTGTGAGATTTTCATATTCTGCTGAGTGCTTGCCTGCCTGCATGATTGCATGTATGTATGTGACCCGCCGGGGAACCTGTGTGCTGCGAAGGCCCGTGGGCCTGGTACTTACCTGTGGCTGTGTCGTGTGCAGGTTGTAGCGGGATATAAGTGAGGGATGGGCCTGCAGAGGCTGGAAACATAAAAGTAGCAGTAGGTAGGCAGAAAAAGACAAAAAGGTAGTACCCTTGGATGCGGAGGTAGAATTTAGGAGTCCGGTAGGCTTAGAGGCAAAGGTACCGGTCAGCAGTCTGAGCGTACAGACTGCAGAGGGTAGTATCAGACTGCAATGGAGGTACCAGCGTGGCCTAGAAGCAACTGTGCGAGGAGGCACTTTGCCGGTAATATCAAGTGAGGAGAAGAAGGGCTCAGTCTCATTTGCGGGTGTGCAGTTTGAAGGCACACTGCTGGAGCAGGCACCCAGCTGAAGCAGAGCTGGGTGAGGAAGAAGCCGATCTTGACCATCCACCTGGCTATATTGAGGAAAGGACCAAGGAGGAGTACTGGAGGGAAGTAGGAGGAGGAGGAGGCCGCGTGGCCTAGAAGCAACTGTGAGAGGAGGCACTTTGCCGGTATATCAAGTGAGGAGAAGTAGGGCCCAGCCTCATTTGTGGGTGTGCAGTTGGAGGCACCCAGCTGAAGCAGCGCTGGGTGAGGAAGAAGGTGATCTTGGCCTTCCACCTCTGCTATGGTGGAAAGGACCAAGAAGGAGTACCGGAGGGAAGTAGGAAGAGGAGGAGGAAGACGGTGAGCAAGGAGGAGAGAGACGGGGGAGGTGGTCTGCATTTTCATCTTATACATTGGCACTGCACTGGAAGGCCCCGGTTGGGGGGGTGGCATCTGCAAGGAAAGACTCCGGGGGAGTAGCAAGGCATGTCGGACATGGTGGGAGCAGCATAGCTGCTTTGCGTTGTCCTTCGAACATCGGAGGTGGACTCAGATGGCACGCGATAGCCACCGACCTGCATAGGAGGAAGAAGGGAGGTGTAGAGTAGCTATAGTAGACCTCTGGAGTGACTGGCAGTAAGGGAGAGATTTGGACATTGATTCTGGTGCATTCTTTCATTCTTATTGTTAGTAGGACATTGATTCTGGTGCATGCTTTCATTATTATTGTTATTATGATTATTAGTATTAAGATGTCGGGGAGGTAACATGAGTTGAAAGGGGAGTTGACATTGGTCTCTGCCGGTGTACATCTTCTTCTTCTTCCTCCTTTCTCATTTCTTCTTCATCCTCTGTATATTTCTTTTTCCAATTTCTTTGATTTCATTGCAATTGAACAGCATTGTCTTCCTTTTGCTTTCTGCACTGTACGATAGCCATGATTTTAACAATTCAGACTCCCTAGGACCTGCAACATATCTGCCCCAATAGCCTACACCAAGAGGCTAAATGAGGCCATGTTAAGCAGCGACAATCTTCCTGTAGCTTCTTTATTCTGTTTCCGTTCCTTCCCCCATTGTTCTGTGCATCACCCTTCTGACAGGCCATCCAAGCCCTATCCGTATCCTCTCAGTTTGCATGGACCTATTACGCATCCAGAAAAGAGTAGGAGGGCCAAACATAACAAGAGCTTAGTCAGCCACCTTGCAGTGTGACTGAGTTCATCAACATTTGTCACCAATATTCTCACCCCCTCCACCATCGACCTCTACAAACACATCTACAACACTGCATACCTCACAGCCTTGCATGTGCGATGACGGAAGACCACCACCCTTCAAGTTGCGGAGTCGAGCTGTAGAAGGTCCTGCACGATTCGGGAGCATATCCAATTCCAGTGCCTGCTGCTGCATGCTCTCAGACCCCAAGACCGCTGGAACAGGTATAATGTCATCACTTCCCCTTTGTAGTGTGGGTGAAGGCACCTCTGTGGGACCCATAGACTTCCCCCTTTCCTCTACAACCTCTTTCTCTATTATCGCCTCCTCTGCGGCCTCCTCCACTTGCTGCTCCGTTGCTTCCTCATTTCTTTCACAAACCATGTCCTCATCACCATCCTTACGCTTGCAATGTAGCACATCTGGGGACGTCCTAATGCGCGGATTATCCAGTTCACTTTCCTCATCTTCCTCTGCTCCCCTTTCTCTTTCCCTCTCTTTTTCCTTCTCCTTCTCCCTCTCATCCCCCTTGCTGCTTCTCTTCGTCAATTGTTTAGACAGAGCTTTCTTACGGTTTCTCAAAGTAGGGGAGAATACTGCACCCTCAGCTGCACCACAAGACCAAAAAAAACATCCATCTGAATAGTGTTCCAAAAAAAACATCCATCTGAATAGTGTTCCTGTCATACATACACCAGCCCACCTGAACTACTCATTCCCAACAGGCACGTCACTTGAGTACCGTTCCCCTCATAGATGTCATTGCGTCCCTGAAGTACTTGTGTGCATCACTATTCTCATCGAGTATCATTCTCATACCATTCCATATCATCCTTCCCCAAACTAGCAGCCATGGACTTGCCCAACACACCCCACACGCAAAGAATGCCGGTTCGCTTCGGAGAACCAAATTCCAGACCCATGGACTAGGAGCCTACACATCCACTCAGAAAGAATGCCAACTGACTTTGGACAAAATTTCCATGAAAAGTTGAAAACAATAGTCGCACAAGTGCCACAAACTTCAAGTCGATCTTTTTCTCAATCATCTTTCAGCGCTGTTACTTTCTTGTTTCAGGATGCACCGACCTGGGCAAGGTCTGTGCACGTACAGGGTATGTGGTTGGGGTACTGCACAACAATACCAGGCTAAGTTGGCTGGGGTCACACCGACTCAGAAGGGTCAGCACGTCATTAAAAACAAAATTCACTTCTCCTGTGGTGAATATCCACTCAAATCAACAAAAGAAGAAAGAGAAATTCCCTAGAACTCACCATCTGACCAACATAAATGCTTATGCCGCCTGCAAGGAAGATGAGCAATAGTGAACTTCAGCAATCAATCAGCATCGTAGATATGAGTCCAGATAGTCGTGACCTCGAACCAACAGCAGAATTGCATCACGAGATTCACCAAATAAGAACACACCAAGAGTTCATAATTGACAATGCTGAAATAGTCCCGTCATCATCAACGAAGAACCAGAGTTGATATCCTATCTGGCGTTCGGCGCCCAGACTACATGTGGCAGATCCTATCTAGCCTATACTAAGATGCCGAAAGATGACGTCAACAGCTTTCCCGAAGTACGAGCATATGGCGACCAATGTCGCACGCTTCCAGCACCAGGTATGTCTCTCGCCACACTAACAACCTCGTTCCCCAACGCACAGATGCCACTAGCACCCAAGGACCACCCTGCGCCTCACCCAGCTTACAGCAGCGCAGCTCTGCTATGGCTGCGTGCTCCTTCCCTGCTCGCCCATGAGAGCTTAGGCGCCAGCCAGCAAATAGCGCAGCATGCAGCCAGCACCCGAATACCGAATGAGGAGGCAGGCCCTTTGCTATATCAAAGTGGCCTGCCTGCATCCAGTCCCAGGAAGCTTCCAGTAGGCCCCGGTAGCCTGAGGCCCAGTACGAATGAAGACAGGCCCTGGGCCTGAGGTGGTTGCATGCGTCCAACTGCCTTTGGCCTGTGTTTGGCCCAGTACCCGTATCCAGCCCAGGGCCTGCTTTCCATACATTCACACAGGCGGCCCAGGGTCTGGGTTTACTCAACCAACTGGCGCTGCGCAACTGCCTGAATTTCCTTGGTTGCGCAGGGGCCGAAATAAGGCCCTGAGGGGCCTCGTCAAGCCTGCCTTCACTTAGGGCAGCCGACAGGCTCCCAACAAGGGGCCGATTGGGGCTCATAGAGGCAGTGGCCTCACATTCCCTCCTCCTTAGCTTCAACAGTCCTCTGAGAAGCTCAGTCTTCGACCATCGGGAGCTTTCCTTTCTGCAGAGATTTCTCGTAGTGGGCTACCACTTGCGGAGCGGTCTGCATGAGTTCCTCCCTGGTAAACCAGCGGTCCTCCTTCGGGTCAGTGTGATGCCGGAACCGAACGCGGTACTGCAGCTTCGGTTTTGGAGGACGTCCCCTGCCTGTTGGTCTTGATACTGGCAGCTCTCTGTGATCCACGATGTCATCCATGTCCACCTCTCCGTCCATGGTTGGGGGCAGCATTGAGCGACGAGATGGAAACTGATCAGTCTCTTTGAAAGATGCCAGCTTGGAGGCGTGAAAGACAGGGTAAGTACGGAGATGGCCAGGGATCCGGATAACATAAGATGGCCCATCTGGATCTGTCCCAACGATGTCCAAGACTTCCCAGGGTCCAAAGGACTGGGGCATGAGTTTGCGGGAGATCCCGTGCTTAACCCAGACCCTATCCCCAACCTGGAATGTAGAAGGCCGGCGGTGTCTATTTTCGGACTCTATCATTGCAGCCTCCGCCTTCTGCATTTGTTCTACAGCCTGCTGCATCTTCTGTTCATAGCGGTAAGCAAATTCTAAGGTACCTGGTGCAGCAGTGGATTGATTCTCAACAAGAAGAAAGTCTAGGGGCACTGTGTACAGCGTTGTTATAAATGTTAGCAGTAAGCTGTTTGGGCTCACCTCGGTGGCCCTGTTAGCAGTAAGCTGTTTGGGCTCACCTCGGTGGCGCTGTGTACCGCGTTGTTATACAAGCTGGCGATGAGAGGAAGCTTCTCATCCCAGTCCACCTGGTTGGGCTTGATGTAATGCCTCAACAGGTGTTGTACAGCGCGGTTCAGTTGCTCGGCCTGACCATTGGCCTCTGGGTGATTCCCAGAAGTCATCTGCAACTGAGTTCCCTGCTCTGCAGCAGCGGCCTTCCACAACTCGCTGGTAAACCAGACATCCCTGTCACTAATAATAGACTTCGGTAACCAAAGTCCCTGACCCAGTTCTCTTTGAACATTCTGATTACATACTCCGTTCTTGCTGTTTCCGGCATTGCTACTAACCTAGCATACATGCTAAATCTATCCACGATGACAAAGATGTGTCACATCCCACTCTTGCTGGTGACCAGAGTATCCATGAAGTCCATGGACAGACTTTCACCAGGCCGTTCCGGAATCGGAAGGGGCTTCAGGAGCCCAAGAGGAGCCTGAGTACGTGGCTTGTCTCTTTGATATACCTGACAAGTCTCCACGTACAGCTGGGCGTCTTGCATCATCGTGGGCCACCAGAACCGCTGCAGCAAATTGGCTGCGGTCTTCTTATATACCCAAAATGTCCGGTGGCGTCATGGCACTCTCCTAGAAACAAACTACGCAAGGACTCTTTACTAGGAACACACAAACGTTTATTCCCAGCCTTCTCGAGGAACAGCAAGCCGTTGACCAACTCGAACTCAGCAGAAGTCACTTTGTCCTTCGCTTTGCGGATGATCTCGGACATGAACGGATCCTCTCGATAGGCTTCCATCATGGACTGAGTAATAGTGTCCTCAAGCCCAAACTCTGCGCGACAGGGCATCAGCAACCTTGTTGTACTCGCCCTTGATGTATTAGGGCTCGAAGTCATACTGCTCAATGACTTCGATCCAACGCTTGTAAGCATCAGAGAGTACCGGCTGAGTTCTCATCCATCTCAGGGTCTGATGATCAGTCCTGAGGATGAAGAACCTCCCAAGGAGGTAATGCCTCCAATGGGTTAGAGCCTTGTACACCGCATAGAGTTCTTTCTCATAGGTGGACTTAGCCAACTTCTAAGAGGACATCTTTTTGGACATGTACTCTACTGGCCTCAACTTTTTCCCCTCCTATCCTCTCGATAGGCTTCCACCATGGACTGAGTAATAGTGTCCTCAAGCCCAAACTCTGCGCGACAGGGCATCAACAACCTTGTTGTACTCGCCCTTGATGTATTAGGGCTCGAAGTCATACTGCTCAATGACTTCGATCCAACGCTTGTAAGCATCAGAGAGTACCGRCTGAGTTCTCATCCATCTCAGGGTCTGATGATCAGTCCTGAGGATGAAGAACCTCCCAAGGAGGTAATGCCTCCAATGGGTTAGAGCCTTGTACACCGCATAGAGTTCTTTCTCATAGGTGGACTTAGCCAACTTCTAAGAGGACATCTTTTTGGACATGTACTCTACTGGCCTCAACTTTTTCCCCTCCTGCTGCGCAAGTACGGCGCCTATGCCATATTGGCTAGCATCCGTAGTCACTATAAATGGTTTATCAGGATCAGGAAGCTTTAGGACTTCGTAATGCGTCAACGCATGCTTTAGATGTCTGAAAGCAGCCTCGCATCTCTCAGTCCACTCCCATGGGGTGTCAAGGCGGGTCAGATCAGTCAAAGGGGCGACAACTATGCTATAGTTCTCCACGAATTTGCGATAGTAGCCGGTCATCCCTAAGAATGATCTCATCTCAGTCACAGATTGAGGACGCGGCCAATCACGAATGCTGGCCACCTTCGCGTCATCGGGCTTCAACCCTTCCGCGGAATCTCATGACCCAAGTACAAGACACGGGTGCAGCCAAACTCGCACTTCTCACCATTGATCTTGAATTTGAGATGTCGCAGGAGACTAAGGACTTTGCCCAAGTGTGCAACATGCTCCTCGACAGTCTTACTAAAAATAAGTAGCGCTGCGGACACACAGTGTTTCTCACTCTCTGACAATACTCCCAACAACCAATCACAAGAAAGAACCTGCGAGGATAACAATTGGAATACACACTGATGATGAGCCAGTTAACCAGAAATCGTTACAGAGTTTGTTCTTGTGTCTCGCCACTCTCAGAACCTCACACTCCACTCACTACCCATACCCAGTTAGTAGTGCCACATCAGAATGGCCTCCCAGGGGCCAGCACAAACCACCCAGATGAAGAACAACTCCTGCGATGAAGTCCTCAACGCCGATGAACAACTCTGACGAAGAACCGACAGCTATGGCTGCCGCAACCCACATAGACTCAGTGTAGAGTCTCCACGCAGCCCAGCCGCTCGCAGAAACCCACAAGGGTTGATGCGCAGGGGATGCCCCAGCTATGGCAAGCTCCCAGCGGGCTGGCTATGGCTGCTGTCCACGGTGAGGGTCTCAGGATATCGCCTGTAGACAATCGCCGCTGCAAACCTCCTGGCTCCCGAACGCTGCATCGCGAAAATGAACTGCCAAAAGTCCTGGACCGAAGTCCCTAAACTATGAATAGACTACTCTACCTAACCTAGACCTAGACCGGACTGACTGACCGACCGGTACCGCTGCTGTTTCGGCCTCTCGGCCTCTACCGGACCCGGCT